CGCCGGCGAAATGAAGAAGGAAAAAAGAAACTGGCGAACCGGCGAAACGTTTGTTTCTTCGGAGTTCGCGGCACGGATCGATACGACTATTACTACAACCGTGCGTCCATTATTGCGAGCGTACAAACCGAAGATACGGGGGACTGGAATTAGCACCGCTTTCCCATCGATCCTCGCTCTGAATCATTTACGAGGCCGTATACATAACGGCCGTGCACGAGTCGCCGCGAAGCGAAAGCGTTTCTTAGACCCTGCACGTCGTGGAGTACGTTCTGTAAAAATTCTAGTTCCCTTCATTAGGGATATTCAAGCCTCTGGTTTCGAAGAAGGTTGTCACATCTTGATAAAAAAAGAGAGAGAGAGAAAAAAAAAGAAATATACGGGGAAAGGTCAAATGTTTGTGTTGCACGGGCATTAATCGTGTAGCGGCACAGGTATGCACAGTTTCTCACGAAAGTATTCGAACATTTATAAGTGGTTTTTTTTTTTTTTTTTTTTTTTTATGCATCCTACAGAATGTGAAATAACTCTATTAGTACGTTTTGTAGGTCATTCTGAATAAAAAAAAATGGACGTGTACCACGAGTTTCGGTGCGCTTGTTTTTTTAATTCGCTCGAAAAAAATTTACGTTCGTTCTTACATTCTTTCTTTTATTTTCTCTCGCTCGTGTGAAAAATTCAAAATGATGATTTCTCACGTCATAGAGCAGTGCGAAGAACTATTACAAGCAATGTCGCTAACGGTATTAGAAATGAAGTTAATAGAATGAACTGGCAACGACCATTAAAACATGATAAATCTACGCGTTCACAGAAGGAAGCTTGTCACTTTGAACGCCTCGTTTAATCTATACGGCTGAAAAAGGACGCGAGATTAAAATGAAAGATTATTTCTTCATTCCAGTTATATAAATGTGAAATTTGGTACAAACATAATAGTTAGAAATAGACTCATATATTAATAATTAATGAATATAATAATAACAATAATTAATAAATAAAAACCAGGGGAATGAAAGCTTTAGTACGATCTTTTTTATTCAGAATGATCTTCCAAACACGCAAAGCAAAAAGAAAAAAAAAAGAATCTAACCAGATCATCTAGATCTATTAAATATTACAACAAGTACTTTCTTCTTGAATATTTCACGCTTTGCACCCTGTTCGGATTCTTTAAATTTATATAATATATTATATAATATAATATATATAATATATAATATATTAATAGATGCAGTCTGTTTATTTGAACAAAATTTTTGTTACTGTTCTATCAGACGGACTCCCCCGCTAATTATACATGAATTTCTATATCCAAACTGTGATGCATGCAATCAGTGAATCCTTACTCCAATCTAAATTACTTAATCGTTATTTCGTTCAACAATCGGATATAGAATATTCATCAACGAGACCGAATAATTAATCAACCAAAAGAGAAATTCAACGATGTTCAACAATGAAATGAAATGAATGAAATGAAATTCTTCTGCGCGCGAATTTCCTAAACTTCCACTCGCCAAATCTTTTCCCGAAATCTCCTAAATTTCCTAAATCGCCCCCATTTTCAGAAAGAGGCGAGAGAGAAGTAGAATCGGCAAATCAGCCATCGTTTGGCGAGGAAACGGCACGCCGAAGATCCCAAGGATTCCCAAGGAGGGTGACCACCTGTGTTTCGCGCCACTTTCGAAACGTGTTTTTAATGAGACGACACCGAGACACTTGGAAACGGAGCGAGAAAGAAACGTGGGAAACAATGGCGGGGATCTCTAATCTGAAGGGCACTGGATCGAACCCTTCTTCTCGCGGAGCATTGTCTCCTCGACGAACCCTTTTGCTACTGCCACCTTTTCTTCCACGGTTTCTTTCGGCGCCCCCACCCCCTCCCGCTCCCGGCCTTTCCGCGACCCTTACGCGAGGCTTTAAAGAGCGAAAGAGAAAATGGAGGAAGAGCTTCGACTGGCTACAGAATAGTTACTGGCCCCTCCTCGACATTATCTTTACGCCTTTGCCGCTCGTACAAAAGGGAACGACGGAAGGAGGGTGAGAATGGAGCCCGTTGCCTGGGAGAGAAATGTTTGTCCACCCTGAAACGTGAGTTTGCTTTTCTTATTTCTGACCCTCCGCCACTTCTCTGTCTTGACCTTCTTTGGCCGTATATATATATATATGTGTGTGTGTGTATGTACGTGCGACAGTGTGAAGAGGGAGAAGTCATTTCGCGTTTCGAAACGGTTGATTCGATTCGGTCGTCGTTTTGAAACTGGTGCCGAACGGGGACTCGCAGTTAGAGAAATTTTTCTATCGATCAATTACGCAGCAATCAGCACATTCATTTAGATATAATTAGAGAGAGAAAGAAATGGGAAAAGTTAGAAACGAACTTAAATTCGCGCTCGTGGGAAATTTAAAGACGCAGAAAATGCATGAGATTAGGATATTCGCTTGGTCGTTAGAACAATTCGTCTGGTTTCATTTCTTAAATTATATTCGTAATAATATGAATCTGCATAAATATCCACAGTCTACTTGCGACTTCAAGTGAAAAATTTCTAATGAATATACCATTGGACCAATTGTATATATATATTTTTAACACTGAGGGTGTTAGGGAGTTAAGCTACGTGTAATTCAAGTATTAGAAAGAATTTGACGTTTGAGATTTGTGAAGCAGTCTTTTTCTACACTGAAATGTTTCAACACACTTTGAATTCATGTGTATACTACAGTAAACAACATGACCACTTTATACAAAACTGTACTAGTTTTCACTGGTAATCACTTTTCAAGTAACGTTGCCAAACAAACTTACAAAATAATTGGCAAGGTCCCTATCGATATATAACATCGGCAGAAGATGATTAGAACTCAAAGAACATGCTCTAATTGTACAAACTAAAACCACGAGAGCCGCTGTAACTTGGACCATCAATCAACGATTCAGCGGGTCATTAAACCCTGTTACCTAAACAGACCGAGAACCCAATACCCTACGTCAACATCTCCTATTGAGATCACACCAGAATTTCCAATGGAGAGCCAAGTCGCTAAACAGGCATTTTAGCATTTCACCCGTCAAAACAAGAGAAATTTCTCAGTGGGTCGCAAAATCAAAGAAAGAAATCGCTATCATCGTCAGAGTACTCGTTCGGATTCGGGGGAAATTTCGCTGTGAGGTAGTAATTAGGAATGAAAATTATGAAGCAGGTGACTGACACGTGCACGCAGAATTGCAAGATGCAATGATAATTCCAATAAAAAAGAAAAAGAAAAAAGTATCGATGTGAAAAAGAAATCGCGACGTGAAAGAAATTTATTTTATCGTGAATCGTTCGAACGAAAATTGCGAGAAAGATCGCCAAACAACGGCGTGAAATCGTAAAATACAAAAACGACGTTCCGTCACGGGGTGACAACGTCTGAAGAACACGCACCGTGTAAATATCCTACGGTAAAAAATAAAATCGTAAAATGAAAGAAATGCTATTTTCGAAGACACGGACGCAATGATCCCGAAATCACGAAACGAAAGAAACGAAATTTCCCATCAGCTGACCGACCCCTGTCCAATTTAAAGTCACGATTAAAGGTCGTTAACCGCTTGCGCTGGCAACTGATTGCGGACCATAACGAGCGGCCGAACCGTATATATACACACAAATAATTCGTCGCTTTCTTCTCGAACTCGTTCGGTGTGATCTATCATCCGGATACTAAATTACTAAAAAATACACTCTGAGAAACTGACAAGATACTACTAATTTCGGAGCAGCAAAAACTTGCAGCGCAAGAGGTTGAAAGGGTACGACATGATGGAAATGGTGGAAATAAATGGGAATATAATTGCATCGTCGTGAGTGAGCTGTTCGACTGAGAGCATCTTGAAGATGCGACCAAAGGGTGCACGCACCGGCGCGAAAACGCACAGAGCCAAAGATAACACGCTCCTCGGCTGGACAGGGGATAAGGGTTGCCGGAAGGCGGGAGAGGGGTTGGCGGACAGCGTGGCGGCGGCATGGCGAACATGGCGTCGTCGAGGTCGCGTCTGCGCCTGGCCGCCAACACCGCGTGACCACGATCAATACCTGTACGCGCTGTTGTGCCGGGGCAAAGGATGTTGAATTCGAAAAGTGTTATTCCGCGCGTCTATCTCTGAATGATATGGAAGGGAACGCCTCTCCACGTGGGTGCCACGTGTGCGCTTCCGCCCCGCGTCTCTTACGCGCGTGCACGCGCTTGTCCGATTTCGTCTGGCCGGCTCCAAAACACGGAGACCGCCCTGCTTCCTCTCTTTATTCCTCTCTTTATTCCACCGACTCTCTCCGTTATCTCCGCGATTTTCGTCGGGACACCGTCGTCGTGCGACACTGTCGTCCGGAGCACCCTCGAGCACGCACGACACCCCCTATCATTTGGCATTCAGTCGTTTTCGAAACGACTCGCGTCGAGTCACGGGATTTTTGAAAAGTTCCAGGGATTCAGAAAAAGGGGGAGCAGAGTGGCTAAGAATTCTTACAGTATATAGAGCTAGCTTTCTACGGATACGTTGCAGCGCGAAAGGTTTTCGCGCGGGTTGAAAATGTCCGAGCAAAGCGCGACTCGGCGTGGAGCTGTATAAAGATCAGTGTCGACAGGGTGAATAAAATAGGTAAAAGCGTTTCGCGTTCGCGATTGGCAAAGGTGAGATCAAAGTAAGAGGGCAAAGTAGTTCGAGGATCGGGAATCGTAACTGGATGATTCCCGAATCTTCGAGCGACACGTTGCATTCGTCGCGGGGACAACGACAACGATATACGACGTGGAACGCGTGAATCAGGGAATTAGATTCGCGTTCGCGGATTAGACGTGCGTTTAGATGATTAAGCGCGCTCGAGACGATAGCACGTTACATTTTTTTTTCTTTTTTCTTCTTTTTTTTTTTTTCGGTGAGAAAAGAAAGTTAGACACAATATATAGATACAAGTATATATGTCGAGACACTATTCCGAGGTTTTTTAGCAAAGACAAAGGTGATGAAAAAAAAGGAGCGTGTCGTTGTATCGTGGGGGAGGGGGATATTTCGACGGATGGACTAACCTGCTAGCCGCAAGGCCGACATTCTCTGAAACTCGGGCTCCTGCAGCCACTTCCACATCCGTCGGAAGGTCTCGCGGCCGCTCTTGAGCTTCGACCAAGGCTTCGGATTGCGCAGTAGATCGCTGAGCGTTCCCTGACTACGGCAAAGAACCCTCTGGGCGAATATCGCCTGCGGTATGCTGTACCTCTTCAATTCGGCGCTGATCCTCTGGGCGAGCTCCTTCGTGTTGATCTCCTCGACCTCACCGGCCCCGTTGCCAGCCGACGAAACGGTCTTCATAACGACCGAGGTGTGTTGCACGTGCTGCGTGTGCGATATCGTCTGTTGCGGCATCGACTGTTGCTGCTGCTGCTGCTGCTGCTGCTGTTGCTGCTGTTGCTGCTGCTGCTGCTGTTGCAGCTGGGTCTGCATAGGTGGTGGCGAGGCAGCGGGCACCGAATGCGTGGGCGGGGAATGATGAGAAGGCGCGAAACTGGCCGTCGCCGAGACGGACGGCGGCGAAGATGGGCTCAACGCCGCCGGGCTCTGCTGCAACCTCGGCAAAAAGGCCGGATCGTAGTGAGGACTGGCGGACTTGTGCGGCGAATTCAATCCGCTCTGGCTGTAGGCGCTCTGCGGCGATAAAGGACTCGGCTGAAGGCCCGCGCCCGGCGAAGGATAATTGTGCGGCGGCGACATGCTCATCGAGGGCAATTTGTCGTACGCGTACGGCGAGCTACCCATCCCGATGCCGATGTTGCCGAGGCCGTTGTTTTGCATGACCGCGAAACTACCGGTGACGCCGCCAGCCGCGTGTGCACTGTATACAAACTTGTCGCTCATCGTCGAGATCGGCGGTAACGGCTGTAACGGCGTGAGGGTCGCGTAAGAGGAACCCGGACTGAAACCGGGCGGCGACATCCTTTCAGCGACCGAGGTCAGTGTCTGATAGGTCGGCTCCGGCTGCATCGCCCTGAAGTCCGTCGCGTCGATCATACTCGCGACCGAGACGCTTATCCCCGACGTCGGCGTTAGCTTGCCCGGACTGAGAAGCTCCGAGTCGGCGTCGCGCGAGTCCACGTCCACGTCCTGAGGTGGCACGATCACCGACAGGGACTCCCTCGCGTTCTGTCTACTACCACCACCGGCACCACCTCCACCACCGCCACCGCCGCCACCACCGCCACCGCCACCGCCGCCGCCGTTTCCGTTGCCACCACCGGCGCCACCGACGGCACTTCCGCCGCTGCCGCCACTGCTGCTGCTGCTAGTGCTGCTGCTGCTGCTGCTGCTGCTGCTGCCACCGCTGCTACCACCGCCACCACCGCCGCCGCCGCCACCACCGCCACTACCACCACCACCACCACTGCTATTACCGCCGCCGCCGCCGCCGCCGCCGCCGCCACCACCACCACCACCGCCGCCAATGTTACCGCCACCGCCACCACCGCCACCGCCGCCACCACCACCACCACCACCACCACCACTACTCGTGCCGCTGCTACTGCCACCGGCGCCTCCGTTACTGCCGCTGCTACCTCTCGATGGCTCCTGGGACGACGACAGATCCTCCGCGGCGGCGAGCTCTCGCTCCTCCTTGACGCCGAGCGCGCCAGCCGCCAGTAGTTCCAGCGGCAAGCTCGCGCACGCGATGTCGGGACTTTGCGACGCGGAAGACGACATACCCTCTGCGTTACCACCTCCACCGTTACCACCACTTCCACCGACAACGATGTGTCTACCTCCCGTTCCTTCTCCGCTGCTGCTGCTACTGCCTCCGCCGCCTTCGTGTTGATGCTGCTGCTGTTGTTGTTGATGTTGTTGTTGTTGTTGTTGCTGATGCTGATGATGATGATGATGATGATGATGATGCGGCTGGTGTTGTTGTTGTTGTTGTTGTTGCTGTTGCTGCTGCTGCTGCGAATGAAGATGATGAGTTCCTTGATGATGTTGCTGATGTTGTTGCTGTTGCTGTTGATGGTGGTGATGATGGTGATGATGGTGGTGGTGATGATGGTGATGTCTACCCCCACCGACCACCGTTCCTCTACCACCACTGTTACTACCTCCACCGCCTCCGTTCCCTCCTCCACTTGCACAGTTCCCATTCGAGCCACCCCCACCGGTTCCCCGGCCATGCGTAGAAACCGCCGCCGGGGAATCGACCGAGTCCAGTAATTGCTCGCTATGCGATTGATGATCGGCTATGTCCCCTATACCTTCCATTTACGCACATCTAGTTCGGGTGGTCGCGCACTCGCTCTCCCGTGCTCGGACACACCGCGTGCACACACCGCGGGGGGACACGATCGTTTCACCACGAGAATATCGTGCTCGCGCACTTTCGTCTCTCTGTCTTTCGCTGTGCGTCGACGGCGCACCTTCGCGAGCTCTGTGTCCGCGGATTCTTCTCGTATCTTTTTTCTTTTCTTTCAACACTTCCCGGGTGTTCCTTTTCGATCACCACCGTCGTCTCTTTCGGCTGTCGCGACTCTTCGACTCAATGCTATATTGTCATCAACTGTACGATAACGAGTTGGTAATCGAGCAAACGATAAAATCCACGCGCGCACCCGTAACACGATTCTCTCGCCGTTTATCACACCACTACTCTCGTCTACTCTTTCTTTTCCCTTTCTCCCTTCTGCTGTACGACTCTCGTTCGCACTACCGTCTCGAACGTGTCACTCGGCGGAAGACCAGTCGTGGCTCGCGTCGCGTCGCGAAAACGAGTACGAACTGTACGACGACCACCGGCACAACGACGACGACGACGACGACGACGACGACGACGACAACGACAACGTCGACGAAGACGAGGACGATGACAATGACAACGATAACCAGGACGAGAGCGAAAACGACGAAGACGAGGAGAGCAACGAGGATAAAGACGCGAACCTCCAGCGACAGCACGAGCACCGCCTCGTGTCGTTTGGCAACCTCGAGCGAATCAAAATTGTCGCGCCACCGCGACCAAGGACAACGTCTCTGTACGTGCACGACGACACCGGCGATTTGCCAGTTGTTGTTTTTGCTACCGTCGCCGCTACTCCGTTCAACGTAGACGAGCCAGACGTTGTTGTTGTTGTTGTTATTGTTGTTGTTGCTGCTGTTGCTCCACCACAATCAGCACGTCGGATCGGCATAGAGATCCGGTACCACAACGGCGGCGACCACCGTGCGCCCATGACATACGCGGAGCGAGTGAGAACGCACACACTGCGCTCGAGTGAATACGTTAGTTCGTGTGGAGCGACAGGGCGAGAGAGAGAGGAGAGAGAGAAAGAGAGAAAGAGAGAAAGAGAGAAAGAGAGAGAAAGTGCCAGGGAAAAAGAGAGACCACGCGAAACCGAGAGAGAGAAAGAGAAAGCACGCGCGGGCAATCGGCTGGAGAAGAGGGGGGAGGTTGGCGAGGGGACGGGGGAAGGGACAAAAGAGTCTTGTTGTCCGTCTCACTCCGTCAGTTTCTTTCTTTTTCTCTCTCGCTTCCCTTAGGTGGCCGCCGGTACACCGGAGCTGTCCAGAAGGACCCTTCCCTTCCGTTTCACTCCGCCTCTTTCCCTTCTGACTCCAAACCCGCCGCCGGATCCACTACCAGCAACACCACCACCATCAACAACAACCACCACCACTACCACCAACCACCACCACCAGCACCACCACCACCACCACCACCACCAGTAGCACCGTTTTACCACCTGGCTCACCCTACGCGCTTTTAGCGTGGCGTGCTCTCGTGCTCCCGTGTTCCTCACGCTGTTTCTGTCTCTCTTCCTCCGGTCGTACACACGCTCGTTCTTTCGTTCTTGCGCTCGGTGTATACACGTTCACCGCGCGACAACCCTGGCGCGTGCTACGCGCTTAGGCTCCAACTACGCGCTTCCTCCGGGTCCAGGTGCGACTCGTATTACTATATCCTCTCCTCTCCTCTTCCCCTCGCGTCCCACCGGTATGTGTCCTTCCTTTTCTTTCCTCGTCACCCCTTTTATCTCTTCTTTCTCTCTCTCTCTCTCTCTCTCTCTCTCAATCTCGATCTCCCTCTCTTTTTCGTACCGCGTACTCGCGTTTCCCTAAAAGTTCGTCTCGCGCGTCCGCGCCACCAACGTGTACACTCCTGGCTCTACCACCACCATCACCACCACTCGGTCTCTCGCGAGCCACCGGTGAGCGTACCTGCGCGATCCTCTCTTCCTCCGAGACACACCGCCGATCACCACGTGAAAACCTAACCCCCTTTTCGCACGAGCGGGACCCGAGCCGAACTTCCTTCCGATCGCCGACTAACCAGCTGAACGCAGCCGCGTATCCGGCGACCTCTCTTATCCTCCTTTCGTCCTTTGTTTCTCCACGTCTTTCTCTCACGCGACACGCGTTTTCTGTTTCTGTCTCAGTCTCTCTCTCTCTCTCTCTCTCTCTCTCTCTCTCGCGCGCTCTCGCTTTTCGATCTCGCTCTCGCTCTCTGTCTCTGTTGCTTCTTCAAAGTACGCGTCGGTTCCGTGCCTCGTGAACGCACAAAGTTCAGTGAAATTGTCTCTCCGGTGTGAGATTTGCCTGCACGTGAAAATATCTCGATCGTCCGGGCAGAATCGAGAAGCGACTGGAGCCACCCCCAGCGGAGCCTAAGTCGCCAGCGATGGCATATTCGTCGTCGTTGGCTGCGAGGAACCGCTACGTGCGCGCCGTAGTCGACATTGTCACTACCACCACTACCACCACTACCGTCACCACCACCACCACCACCACCACCACTAGCACCGCCGCCTCCGCCGCCGCCGCCGCCGCCGCCGCCGCCGCCACCGCTCTGGCGTCAGTCAGCTTTCTATCGATTTTCCGATACCTCGTGACCAACGTTGCTCGATGCGCTGATGATACTTCGAGCATAAACATCGACTACGCGGCGACCTATCCTCGACCGAGCAGCGCGTCCTCGCCACCGGTGCTCGATCCGATTATCGAATGTCCACCTCGATCCTCTTCTCTCTCCACGATAAACCAACGAGCTCGTCGCCGATCGCCGAACTGTCGTTACGCGGTTTCTTTCGAGTATCACACAAACAAACTTCTCTCTCCTCTTCTTACAACGTCCGCCTCTTCCATGACTGTAGAATCTTCACAGATGTTGTTTTCCAGTTTCTTCACTGGAAGATCTTCCTGGACGACGTCGAATTTCTAGATATATATATATATATATATATATATCTAGATAAATATCTATAAATATATATATATATACTCGCGAAACAACAAGAATTTTATTTACGTTGCAATGTCACTCGACGATCAACTTCGACGAGAAAGTGTTGGGCAGCCTCGTTGGCCGCCACCGTCCACCAACCAAATCCCTCGGATCAATAGACAATCGAATTCGCGGTAGCCACTTTGCACGGTAGCGTTCAATCGATCGGCCTTCTTCCACCACGTGTCGTCGAGGCGATTGTCGAGAGCGAGCGTGCCTCGTTCACAGGTTTCCACGCAGTTCCACGATCGAAACGCGCATCCCCCGTGTTCCCAACAAGGAGTGGGGAGCAGAGGGGGGCCAGTTCGTGGCAAGATGTCCTCCACTTCCCCGGGATCTTCTTTGCGAAACGCGAACGACCCCTTGGTGCTGTGTGCTGTGCGTGGCGATGCTCGCGGTCTGGCCAGTCTAAAACGCGATCGGGTCGAAGCGATCGGTCGAAGCGGCGTGTCAATCGCGAGAGGGACCTAGGGGGCGAGCGCGTCGATAGGTCGGATCAATGGCGGGGGTGGCGGTAAGAGGCGTCGACGCGCGGACGACGAATCGATCTCGTCGCCGTCGTGCTACTCTCTCTCTCTCTCTCTCTCTCTCTCTCTCTCTCTCTCTCTCTCTCTTTCTCTTTCTCTCTTTCTCTCTGCTCCCACCGGTTCGATTGCAGCCGTCGAAGAACGGCTTCGACCACGGTGATGCCGTATCGGTGCGGAGCCAAGCGTGTCGGTCGATGAATCGTCGAATCGCCAGACGGATTGGAAAACACGCGGAAAACCAAGCATCCCCGGCCGTGATCCTCTTCGACTCGCGATCCCTGCCTGTTCCAGTTGCTCGTGCGCATTCACGCGCACGCGTGCGCGCACCCTTTCGAAACCTGTCGCCCCTCTACCCTCTCCGCCCTCTCTTTCTCTCTTTTTCCTTCTCTCTGTGTTATCCTCCAGCGTCGCGTCGTCAAGTGACGATGTCGCCAGCCCCCCCTCATGTCTCACCCTGACAGCGTTGTGGCTAAGAACGAGAGGAAAACCGCGCGGCAACTCGATCTTCCAACCCTTCCCCCCCCCCTCCCCCCTTTCTTTCGAAATGCTTCTTATCCTCGGTTAGATGACGACCATCAGCTCTCTTGGGGCTTGATCGGGCCGAAGCGTTAAATATAATCGCAGGTGTGTGTAACCGCGATTTGCGCGCTCCGAATCCAGCGACGGTGGGAGCGAGAGGCGTCCGTTCGCTTGCGAGCGAAGAGGAAGCGAGCACGGAGTTGCGCAAATCGCGAACGCGACTACTACGTGCCGACAAGCCGCTCCGGCGCGTCCTTCGGTGGCGTACGGCGGTCAGCGGGGTGCTGAAACGAGGAAGGGTCCGCCGAGTGGGGAGCACAGAGGGGTGGAGATCTTACGACGGGGATCTGTAACGAACTCGATACGCAGGGGTTCGGGCGGCGGGACGGCGAGGGGTTGGCGGGACGCGGTCGAAACGCTACGAAGGGGTGGCTCAGGGACCGGCTGACTGTTCTTAGTACCCCCGGCCTAAGGGATACTCGCTCCGAGGGAAACCTGTCCTCTTACAGCCGTTGCGCAGTTTTTCATCCCGTCATTGTTGGAACATTCGTTGCGCAATCTGACGAAATCTGCTCCTCGTCGTCGTCGTCGTCGTCGTCGTCGTCGTCGCGTGCTTTGTTTAATTTGAGATTGAACTCGGTTTAATTTGAGATTATCGTTAGACGAGAATTTCTGTCTCACGTTTCTGGCGAGTTTTTCTAAAAATTACCTTGAAAAAGCTAAAAAGTAGGAATACAACGTTCATAGTAACGAAGCAGTAACCGCGTTGCGTTTACGAGAAAGCGTTATATTTCACTGTTTATGACATCGTTATTCTGTTAGTTAAACCAAAAGGATGTAATTTAATTAGAGAGTTACCAATTGATCGATCAAAGACGAGTTTCATCGGTTATTAGTAGACAGCAGATCTTTAGGCCTAAGCAGAAATTCGTATTATCATACGTTTTACGTCTTTGAATTTCCCGTAATTTTTTACAGCATTTATGACGCGACAATATATTTTTAATGAGTAATACGAATGAAAAAATTGAATTATACAGCTATTTGAGCAATTTTATATTGGTCTCAACTCGTTTGTTCGTTAAACTATTAATAAGGTACAGAAGATTCTTCCAAACTGATAAAGAAATTGCCGCAATTTA